GCACCTAGGAGGGAGGGTGGGAATGTTTAAACACCCAGAACGTTGTCTAATATATTCAAGACCTCGCCAATTTCCTGCACATCTCCATAAACCTCCACATCCAATCTAAAATGAATATTAGTTTTATGCCTCTCTCTCTCTCTCTCTGACTCTCTCTCTACCTCTCTCTCTCTCTCTTTGTGTGTGTGTGGTGTTGCACTCGGCGACCAAAGAAGCAGCCAAGGCTAGAAACAGCTCGTGGTTTCTTTCCCAGGGTCTTGTTTGTCCTTGGCCTAAGTATAAGCCTTGCAGCCTTGCGTCTACCAATGAATGCAACGTATTCGCACAGCAACATGTATATCTGCTACTTTTCAGCTCAGACAATGACACCCGCGAAGGGGCACCTGCGCACCATACGCGCACCTGAGTGTGCGGCGTTGGGCCTGTGCCACACACATGTTTTGCTACTGCTGCGAAAGCATTCCAGAGGTGACAGTGGAGGTGCACTCCTCTCCCGTCCTGAATGAGGCCACTGGGCATTTTGGTTGGAAGTTCTTTTTCAACATGCCCACCACCATTCTCCTCAAACAAAAACGAGTGTCACCACTCTCAGGACGGCCTCGCCGTTTCAGAACCACCATCACAGGGAGCTTTCACTGCAGCTCGGCGCACATAGTTGTTACGCGGGTGTGCTTCTGTGGGATACGACCAATGCAGACAGCAGACTGCTACATGCTACCACATTCCCCTCATTTTCCAAAGCCACTTCAAGTGGGGAGAGCAGTTGAATATGAAAAGTGATGGTAATGATGATGGCTGTGAACACAGCAGTGTTGAAAGGATTTGGTGTGGGAATCTGCTCGTTAGATCCGTTTGGTGGGAAGTGCCCATCAGGTTCCTGTGGATTTTCCTTAAACGTGCCAGGCTTTGGTCAGCTGTCTAGGCCCACTGATACAGCCCCATCACCCCCCCCACAGCCGCCAGAGGGCTCGGGCGTCGCTTCAGGTGAGTTTGGAGCTGGAAGATTTAAAGCCTCGCTTGTTAGGCGTTGCCCTCGATAGCACCGAGGAGATTCTAGGCGACAGTGATGGGGCTAGGCTGGGAGAAAAGAAGAACACCTACTCACCCACCTTCTTGAGAGTGCCCTTTTTGGAGGTGGGTGTTGTGTGTTAGGTTTGGGATGGTTTGGGCTCAAGAATGGACATTGCCTGACTGGTAAGGTTTCTGAGCCTTTTTTGGCACGGCTTCCCATGCAGTGTGATGTGTAGGATTTTGGGTGGGTGCTGCCATTTACGGCACAGTGACGCGCGGTCAAACTGAAGGACCTGGCAGACCCTCGATGAATGGCGCTTGCCCCATTTTCCTTGGCTTACCCAAAGTGCGAATGCCACTGGAGGATAGGGTTCGGACAGACTGAGCTGTGTAGATGCTTGAACCTGGAGCTTGGCCAAAGAGCCTTGCCATTCGTCACATGGCCAGATACTGATTGTTTTGCAAATTATGTTTTTAAACATGAAGTGGCGCTGGCAGGAGCGCAAGTTCTGTTTGTAGGCCATGCGAACCTAGACAGAACATGTAGTGCCCACAGACGTGTGGAGATCGTGGCTCATCCTTTGAAAGCCTGCCATTGCTACTTGCTACGCTTGAGGTGGCATGCATTTGGTAAATGTTTTTTTGGCCATGGCCGCTTTGCCAAGGAAAAACCTCATGATCGTGGGTATCTTTGATGGAATCATCAAGAAGTTTAACGAGAAGTTCCCTCGCCAGGGTGTGAAACAGTTTGACAAGATCACTGCTGTGAACGGCAAACGGGGTTCGGCCAATGAGATGCGGAGGAGAGAGAGAGGAATTCGCGCTTTTCGTGAGTGGGGGGGAGGGAAATCAAGTGGAGGGCAGCAGGGGGATGCAGGACTGTTGTGGTTGACTCAGGGTGAGTCAAATGAATTTTCGATCACCCTCACCGCTGTGAGGATGATGGTCTCTGCCATTGCCGATGAAACATTAGATTTGCTGCAGCTCACCATCCGGCGCCCCACTGAAATACAGACGCTCGGGCTGCCGATGTGATCCGGGCGCGGGTAAATTGGTGCTTAATTTGGGCCGGCTTGTGTGAGGCACTGTGGCTGAGCCATCAGACCAGATACATTGCACAGAGTCGTGGCTTTTCCAGGCATAATATGGGGACAAGGGTGGTAAAGGCCTGAGTATTACGACCTCTTGAGAATCATGTTCAGTTGCTCACTCACATTGATCATATTTCCCATTCTATCAATTCAGCAGTTTTTTTTCCAAGAAAAAAAGGACAGACGCGAAGCTTGATGACTGGCAATGGCAACCTACTGGAAAGAACAGTTGGGTTCACAGGGTTTTGATCTTTGCGACCGCCTTTCCTGATACCCCCAGCCCTTGTACAACTCAAAGCGCCTGGCATTGTGCCACAGAACCTCCCCCCCGCGCCGATGTGATATTTTCATCCATATATTCCAATTAAACTTACCGTAATTATAGTTACCTTTAATTCTATTTATTTCTTGTTTCTAATAGCTTCGTGTTCCTAGTAGTATGGTCAGGAGCCCCTAGTAGCGATGCCCTTTGCTCCTAGTAGCTTCTTGCTCCTACCCCCCCCCCCCAGTGAAAGAGATGGACACGCTGGATCCACACGGGTCCGTGCCGGTCTTTGTCAGGGTGCAGCTGGAGAGACCGGGCACTTTGGGCCTACAGGTGAACTACACCGACCTGCGGCTCGGAAGTGGAGGTGTCGCTCGCTTCCCCGAAGAAGCAGGGCTCCTTTTTGGCGCTCCGATTCGATGTTTTTTGGGTTCGACGAAGATGGAGAGGTTGGAAAGCTAGCAGTAGCAAGATTCCACAGGTTTCTGGCCGTGAAGATTTTCGGATACTGTAGTAGGGAGAAACGCTCAGCATTGACTCAGCATCATTTGCCATTGACTGAGCAGACGCTTTGAAAGCTACCTTGACATTTAGACGGAGGTCCTACTCACTGCGCTAGGCCCCTAGGCAAACCGTTGATACACCTACGTACACCTACTATGGTGGTCCTCTCGCTTTGTGTTTGACGTATTTTGACTTGACGTTCTTCCCCAGGCTGGGCGGGGTTCTCATCAGCAAGATCGTCCCAGATGGCCTCGTCGATCGCTGGAATGCCGATCCCAAGAACCCCTTGGTGTCTGTGGGGGACCGCATCATCGCGCTGAACGGGGAGGACTTGAAAGGTGATGACCTCCTGGAGCGTCTCAAGATGCCTGGCCGTGTCGAAGGTTCTTTCTTTTTCTCCAGCATGTTGCAGCGAGACTTGTTGAACCAAAACCGGTCCAGCAGGTTGATGTGCCGTAGCCATGGTAGCCATGAGTAGACAGCTGTAGCCGAATAACGGCAATGAGGGATGTGTGTTCGATGAAGGTGGGCAAGACACCAGCAATATACTCAATATACTATAAAGGAATACAGGTCCTACTGCAATCATCATGGAGGAGTGAATGTACTGGAGACATCACCAGTGGATGTGCCAATGTGCCCATTCCCAATTCCTTGTATTTTCCCGCAGTTAGTTTCATTGTTATATATATAATATGCGTATATATATATATATATTGTTTAGAGATATGTTTTATACACCTGCATCCTTGGGAAATTAGACCAAGTGCCCCCTTGAGCTTTGAGATTAGTTATTTGGATCAATGTCCCAACGTTGTGCCCAAACCTTGAGGGGGTTGGCAAGAAGTTGTGCAGAATCAAATGGGCAAAGTTGTAGGATTAATTGGCTCACCAGGGGGGAGGGAAGCAGCATGTGGAGAAACCCACTCAAAGGATAGAATACCTGTGGATTAATTGTGTTATTCTTGTGTTCGCGCTGATTGAATGCTGCTTGTGACCTTGTTGCTTGTGATTTTGTTAGCACTCAATACCCTCTGATTCATTATGCTTGAATTTCTGAACTCAGACCTCGAGCAGGTTAGGGATCAATAGTCGAGGTACCGCGGATTCCAACGTTTAGTTAATCCGGCCTTAGGGGGTTGATGACCTCCCTCTAACGCAGCAGGTCTTGTTTTGTTCTAGGGATTGAGCCAGAGTGGTCATTTTCGGAAAGCATCCGACCGCGAGCTGAGGAACGACCCCGAGCTGATTTTATCAGTGCTACACTATTGAGGGATGAGACCCTTTTAGAGATCAAAGATCGCTTTAGGGTGCACGGCACCGGATGCCGAATCCGTCCGGATGCTCATCTCAGCTTCTTTTCGGGCCCCTTTGCTTGGGAGCTGTAGTTCTCACCTCTCACAAGGTTTCTCATTTTGTGCGATCAGTTGAAGTAGAACAGGCTTGGGGCCCTGGTCCTTCGCTCCCCAGAGCGGAGATGGCTTTGGGCCATCCGTCCCTGGTGGAATTCATTGCCGAAAAGAAGTGCCTCCCATCATCGAAGCTCGACATCCGCAAGGTATGCAAGGTCTGGCCTGGCAGAATGTTTCCACCGGAAGCATGGGTGTTTCGGGGGAGGTGTGAGAAGGTGGAAGGACTCGCAATCCGCATGAACCAACGAGATGATTTAGACACCAGGGAGTCACAAAGGTGGCGTTTAGTCCCTAATTAAGTGAGCGGGCACCCCTAACATCCATTCAGCATCCCTTTGGAACTGGTGCATTTATGTTATCGTTATTTCCCATCAGGGCATTGTTTGGTTGACAGCATTGATTGGTATAGTTTTACAGCTGCCCGCCCCCGCTCGAACCAAACACGGTAACATGGTATTTGTTTGTCATTGTGTGCGTTTTCTCCTGTTCGTTTGCAACACAAGTTTGGGACATGGCGCGGGTGATTCTTGAAACACCGGTGGGCTCGTCCATTTGGCAAGAGTTTGGACGTGGGTCATACTTGACAGTGTCTGGTGGTAGGAGAGCGAGAACCGCTGGACTAGAGTATTGAAAAACCACGTGCTGCTGGTGGGATCATCACTCAAATGTACAAAGGGCAGATGATCAAATTGGGCAGATGGACAAAGGGCCGCAGCTCTGTGGGTTGAATGGCTCTGTTCGACTCCGAGGTCATCCGTGACCGACTCCTCCGCAGTCTCCTGGAACTCCCAGGTGCGATTTGAGCCGTTGAAGCTGGCCACCTGCATGTGGCCTCCAAAGAGTCAATTGATGTGGCTGGCACCCATCATCTATCCATCATCCATCAGCTTTCAAAGATCGTTGGTGAACTCCCACAATTGTCTCCAATCATCGTGCCAGTCACTCTGGTCACACCCACCTTCTATCCTTGGATGATTGATTCCTTGGTCTCAACGCACCAGGTCACCGAAGAGGAAGCCCGGCGTAAAGAGAAAAAGGAACGTTTGGATCCCCGGCAGTTCGGGGAGGTGGGGACGTTGCGAAGCTCCCAGTGGTGCCGGAACAACGAGATTTGGAGGATGAAGGTGGTCAATATATGTCAATACCACATTTGATGCAGTCAGATTTGACTGGGCGTCCTTCAGTTGAGATTATACATAAATCAGTAGTACTAGTAAAGGAATATGGGTTCGTGTGGGCAGGTTTCAGATGACTTTCTTTTACGCACCGGTGGTGCAAGCTTTTCATCCCTCAAGCCTTTCCACCAAGACCCACTCCAAGCAGTTTCACACGAGGATCTCACGGTCGGAGCTCACCAAATGATATCCCTTAACGACCATCACAGCTGAGTCGTTAGGCTGTGGAGAGGTTCTTTTTGTCCGATGAAGATCACAGATCCCGGTCTACTCCCCTCCGAACGGTCAGAAGGATCCCGGTGTTTCAGTGTTTTTTGGAGGTCCTCCATCAGCTTAGCTGGATCCAGTTCTGGATAGGAAGACCTGACCACCTGCAACGTCAGGCAAGAGTCGAAAGCAACGGCATCATTCCGCCGATGTTTTGGGCCCAGCAGTTGTCGTTCCTACTAGTAACAAGTGCATCGCTAGTAGTAACAGGTGCCTTACTAGTAGTAACAAGAAGCTATTAGAATTAAATCAAAATATCCTTCTCTGTTTCTTAGCCTCTTCTTTCTAGCTGACCGCATACACTCTGACCCCCTTCACGGGCCACCACTTCTTACAAGAGCACTTTCTTCCTACAGGTGCCAAGTAGGAGTGTCGAATTTATATAAGGATCGAAGCACCAGAGGTACAGCCACGAGAGATTGTTGGCTCCCTTTTAGAAGGGTCAGCTCCTGGTGAGTTTGTGTTTGATGCTTATGGCATCGCAGGCTTCTCTCAAGAGTTTATGGTCATCGAGTCGTCACCTTGAAATCTTTTAGGGAACAGAAGGTGTTCTTGAGCAAATGTTTTGCAACCTTCCATGCATGACGACCAGACCTTAACTGCAGAGGCTGGTGTCGAAGAGAATTTGGAGGTCATCCGAAGAATTGTCACACCTACTCAGGCGCACGCTGATCGTCCAGCTAAGAAAGACGCCTGGGATCTCAGAATCTCTCAGAAATGCCGTTCACCAGCGGAAGCTTACCGGAGGGATTTCAGGTCCTCAAGAATTGCAGGTGCCTTGCGAACCAGGAAACGGCATTGTCGTTTTGATCGTTTGGATGATGCTTGTCCCGACACCCCGCCTGGTCAGTCTGTTCGGAAAGCTTTAGCATCCAGGATGGCGCCTTGCCAAAACCCCACAATTGGGCTGAGGAGGCCAAGACTTTGCACATTTTGAGCATGTTGAACCACCAGGGAGACACCAGTTGGCAAGTTGGGAAAGACCGGACACAGGAACTGCTCGTGTCCGAACCAGCTTGTGCCAGTGACTGCCGCGCACTTCATTGGAGGTGGTGAAAGCATCCCTGGATCCGCAGAACCAGTGGGAGTTCCCGGGCCCGTCCGGAAAAGCCGGATATGTTGGGTGCCTCAGTGTTTCTGTGAACCCTTGCCACACGCTCACGTGATTTTCTGCGGAATCGCCACTGACCCCGTCCTCATGCAGGCTTCACATTGAGCAGACGGCCTTACTATAGAAAAAACACTTGCAACCCCGTGCGAAACCCGCAAACCCCGCTGGAGAAGCTTCTGGGGTGTCTCGAATCGGTGGGACCTCCTTCCGTGTGCCAAGGTGGGACAGCTCGCTGCCTGGGAGCAGTGCCGGCCCCGGGAACGTGTGAGCCATGCGGAAGACCCGGGTGTTTGGGGACTGAGGCCTCGTGCTCGGGGTTCAGAAGTAGCTTCTCGTGCTCGCGAACGTGCTGAGGAGGCTTGTGGGATGAGAGAAGATAGAGGGCAGGGGAGGGCCAAGTTCAAAAATGGGCTAATTTGAGGGCAAAATCATGGCGCTGGGGAAAGACAACATCAAACTCACAGCATTCTTGCCGGATCCTAAGGGCCTCATTCTGGATGATTCCGGTTGTATGTGGTGCAATTTTGTCGTTGTTGCTTATTCCTTTGTAGTTCTGGCGCTGTGGCGCCCACAATCCTGTGATTCCCTTTGAAAGATGGTTCCAGCCAGCGTATGTTGCCCCACAGGGAGTGGTTGATTTCGGATGAATTTGGCAATGTTTTTTGTGTTTCGGTGTTTTTTTTGGTGACATCCAGCTACACATGCACGACTTTGCAGCATTTTTTGGGCCTGCAACACGCCCCGCAGGTGCAACGCTGGGAGAGACACCATGATTCCCAGTGCTCGCCTTAACTTGGAAGGCTGAAGTTGATGCTATCGAAGGGCTAAGGGCGAAGTGTTTCCATGCCTGATGCCGTCGCGCAGGGCTGCTAGGGTCTTTCGTGAGGTTGCCTTGAATCAGTGTCACGTCAGTCAGTGTTGTCGTGTAGACCGGGTTGGGGTACGGATTTGTTTAAGCACACTGCATGGTGAGCAAGGTGTTCACGATTTGTGTTTGTCGGTGAGGACAATGATTGACCCTTTGAGGGGGCCAGTCCTTTCTTTCTGGGTGATGACTTCAGGGCAACTTCATCATCGCAGACAAGGGTTCAGCTGCGACTTCCACCGTTTGGTCCCTCCAGGAAGCCAAGTTAAATGAAATGATAAAATATGATAAGTATATATAATATATATAATATATGTAGATCATCATAGCCACTATTTTTTGGGTTTTTGGGGTATATGGAACTTTTGAACCGTTGACCTTGCGCACCTTGTTTCTTGACACAGTGGCCACAAGAACATCACGGATTCGTGGTCGTGGTGCTGCATTCGTCCGCTGTTGCCCACGTGGTTTTTCGCGGTGCCTTGAGGCAGTACATCTTCGGCACCCCACGTTGAGGGGAACGGCTTCCCTGAGGGACGCGGTCGCAAGACGGGGTTTTTAAGAGGGTGATTTGGTGGGATGCCTGAGGCATAAATCCACACCAGCAGGCAACGGCAGCTCGGGGTCCGTTGCGCCAGCCCAGTGATTTGCTGTGAGGGTCAGACGAGGAACAAGACTTAACACTTCAGCATTTGCTTCTGGGGCATGTGCAGGGCCCACAGCAAGAGCAGGATGCTGTTGACAGAGCAGCGCAGATAGGGAACTTGCCAGCTTGCCCAAGGCAAGAGAGAGCCAATGGGCGCAATGCCTTTGTGGTTGCAACACAGAAACCTTTTGTCATGTCCATGCTTCTTGCCATTCAGTGTTGGGGAACGTTGATGTTAATTATATATAGTCATTATTTGCTTATTGGCCACAGCCAAAGAACGATTCTCAAGTTGTAATTTTTTTGGGGTGGTTCAGCATGGTTCAGCTCTTGTAGTTGAGTTTTCACCTTTTTCTGCCAGCTGTCTCAGCCGCCAAAATGGATGGCAGAGAGAGAAGGGCAGGCCAATGCCAAAACCGCGTCACACAACAACAACTGAACTGATCGAACTGATATTCATGCTCATATGCCATACGGAGCTAATGGTGATAAGACAGCTCCGACATAGTGTACATGTTTATGGAAGGCGTTAAGTGTCCCGAAATTGATTCACATGATTCTAAAGGCGCGGCGGGCGTCTTTTTTTTTTGCCTGCTCGACACAGAGTTGTTGAGCCACCAGTTCTGCGAGAGAATTGCGAGTTGGACCTCCCATGTCAGATGACCTTGTTGTTTGGACTTGAAGTAGGAGACATGCGAAGGCAACTTTACAGCTACCAGCGAAGTCCAACAGCGCGCCTTAGTACCATAGCTCCATTTTCACACATGCGTCAAGAATGTCATCATGAATCTATATTGATCCCCAACCAATTGGATTAACTAGTATGTAGCAGCATTTTCAGAGAGTAAGAGAGATGGTTTGTGTATTCATGTCCTGTGCACAGTAGTCACGCCTCGCTAAGTGTTCGGGACGGCTTCTCGCAGATCAGGATCCAAAATAAGCGCGCTTGCAGCCTAAAAGGGTTCAGCAACTGCTTTCATCAGTCTTATCAGTCTTTGGCCACAAATTCAACGAACTCTTCTTGTATCTTGTGAATCTTGTGTGGCATGGTTTCCGTCGCCTATCCTTGGCTCAGTTGCAATGGCAGTCACGGCACAGAGGGGGCACTCCGCAGGATGGGGGAAACGGAGCGGAGGAAGATGCACAGTTCTGGGCTTGCCAGGAGAATCCCCACAAGGCTATTGAAGCTAGGCCCCTGAGCCATTCTCGTTGTGTTCTTTAAACTGAAAGCACAATGGTGGAAGACCATGTCCTAATTCAGCATTCTCAAACCGCACCCACCCCCCAAGACTCCTGCAACAGAGCGTGCTCGCTCCACGATCCACAGGAGGCCGCCCGTCGGCGCCCAGAGGCCAGGTTTGCAGAGCATGCAGAGTTTGAGACAAGAGTTGTGGAGCTTCCATGATAGACGCATACATGACTCTACAGTACGTAATGTGGATTAATCGTGACAACATTATTATCATATATGACATATATGAACCAACATTTATCTACTGACCCCGTCGCATCGGGCCCCTCCTTGCAGATTAGCAGTTTTCCAGTCACCTGATGTGACTACTATTGGTGACAGTAACTATTGAACTATTGGTTCATGGGATTTGGCACATGTTAGGGATTGGCTTGGTTCTGACTCATGTCACTGCACAGAGTGCTCTGTGCTGCCCCATGAGCAGATTCCGATTTCTCACAAGATTCGGGGCCTGGGGCGCTGGGACGTGGTGGCTGAGTTGGGACGTGAAGCGTGGGGCCGCAGTCCCTTGGCCCAAAGGCCCTTAATTAGGCAAGATGATGCTGCCACCGGGTCGGCCGTTTATGCCTGTGGGGCAGCCTGGCGGGCTGCCCATGATGCCAGGCCGGGGAGGGAGTTCCGTGGCAGGAAGAAGGTGGATGGAATGCAAGTGACATAAAAAGTCATAAAAAGAATACAGAAAAACACACACACAAACACTCACACACACACACAAGTCACACATTCACTTTGCTGTGACGTAAGTGAAAAGCCGAAAATTTGAAGAATTGGACAGTTTGATACTTTTTGTGCGTGCTGATCGTCGCCCAGGCACATTGCCGCAGCCAGGTCTGCCAGGGATGCAGCCACAGATGGCAATGCCAGGCCTGGCACCAGCACCGGGGTTGCCGATGGGCGGCAACAACCTGGCACCAATGCCCAGCACCGGCATGCCGATGCCCAGCACGATGCCGCGACCCATGGGCCTAGCACCACCGATGGGTGGCACCACCCTGCCACCCCCAACAGGGCCCACCGGTCCCATGGGCACCGGCCCCAGGCCCATGATGCCAATGATGGATGCCTCGATGCCTCGACCGATGGGACCTTCAGTGGTGATTCCACCACCGGCACCCCAGGGCATGAGACCCCAGATGATCCCGGCACCACAGCCATTCCCAGCAATGCCACCGCGCCCACCTCCCGGCTCCTTGCCACAGCAATTGGCGCAGCTGCAGGCTGCTGGACAGGAAGCACACCGGCAAGCGCCGCCGCCTCCCGTGCCTTTTCAGGGTGAGAAGAAGCCGCAGCTCTTTATGCTCATTGCACAACTTTCACCTCATGTGCAGGATGGGGGGCCAGGGTTGAAGATTTATTCAGACACGGGCAGACAAAGCTGAGAGATCCTGTCTATTCCCGGGCCCAGCGGCACTGCCCGTTTGTTCCCTCCGAGGAGTCTCACATGCAGCAGCTCTTAGAGCAATGCGGTGATCTTCAGGCGAGGGCGGTGACCCCAACAGTGACGAAAACCAGTCAAGGCCCAACGACATGTTTATATAAACACATTTGAACCTTAATTAGCCCCCCTTTTTTTTGCATCATCGAATTTGCAATGTGTTTTCTGTGGGGTGTTTGTGATGCTTGGGATTCAGACTTGGCTTTATCATTGCACCTGATGTTCAATGTACAGCTTCGCTTCCATGTGTGATTGGCACCCCTGCAGGCCTTCCGCCGTGCCCAGGATGCTGAAGGCTGGATGAGGGACATGGATTACACTCCCTGACATGATCATGGAAGTGAAGTGGATGGCACCGCCTGTTTGTGGAGGAAAAGGGTCACCAAGGGGCCGCTGCCATCCACTTCCATGATTATTTCGGGGGAGTCTGTCTGGGCATTTGATGAGACTCTGAGACTTCCTACTGTTGTTGTTGTTGGTGGTGGTGGTGGTGGTGGTGTTGTTGTTGGTTGTTGTTGTTGGTGGTGGTGGTGGTGGTTGTTGTTGTTGTTGTTGGTAGAGACAAAAACAGCCGCCCAACATAGTTGTCACATGCTGCAAGTCAGGGATTTCAATGGGATTCTGTTAGGGATAGGGTCGAAGGTTTGGAGAGATGTTAGTAGCTGGACTTCTTGTCGTTGTGGTACTCAAGTCTTGGTTGGTCTGCTTCTTGTTTTTTGTTGTGTTGTTTTGGGGAGGGGGGGGTCAAAAAACAACAACGGGGTTGCAGATTTTGTTTTCTAGGGGGGGGGTAGAGACAACAACATCTTTTGGAAGGGG